GCTCTAGCTGCACTGAGTTCTGGGCTCTGGCTCCCTGCCCCTGTCCTTGGTCGAGCAAAAAAAAAACCATTGCAGAGGGGCAGCCTAAGGTAGCAGTCAGACTCCATCCAGTTCCATCACTTCTTACCTCTGCGACCTAGAAAGAAACATCTATTTCTCTAAGCCTCAGCTTTGGGCTTTTGGTTCCTTTTTTTTTTTTTTTAAGATTTTATTTATTTGGGGCACCTGGGTGGCTCAGTCGTCAAGCGTGTGCCTTCAGCTCAGATCATGATCCCAGGGTCCTGGGATGGAGCCCCGCATCGGGCTCTCTGCTCCACGGGAAGCCTGCTTCTCCCTCTCCCTCTCCCCCTGCTTGTGTTCCCTCTCTCGCTGTGTCTCTCTGTCAAATAAATAAAAATAAAATCTTTTGACAGAAAGATTGAGAGAGAGCGCACAAGCAGGGGGAGTGGCACAGGGAGAGGGAGAAGCAGACTCTCTGAGCAGGAAGCCTGACTGGGGGCTCGATCCCAGGACCCTGAGATCATGGCCTGAGCCTAAGGCAGGCGCTTAACAGACTGAGCCACGCAGGCATCGCCGGGCTTTTGGTTCTTTGGGGTTTCTGCGTCTTTAATGAGTGGCAGGTGTCATACTTACACCTTATGCACGGTATAGCATGGGAGTGGTAAAAACGGTATTGATCTTTATAAAGTTAATCTTAAAACATACATCTGATCCTGTCACTACTTTTTTTTTTTTAAGATTTTATTTTTAAGGAATCTCTACACCCAATGTGGAGCTGGAACTTAGAACCTTGCGATCAAGAGTCACATGCTCTACTGACTGAGCCCTCCAGGCACCCCCTGTCACTACTTCTTAAAACCTGTGGCTTTTCATTAAACTTTGAATAAACTCCTAACTCCTTCCTGAGGCCACTGTGCCTGTCCTGGGGTGCCTTCCTTGCTCACCAGGTCCTAGCCATGCTGGCCGCCTTTCAATTCAAGCGCTCCTCTGTGACAGAGTCTTTCATAGGAGCCTGTCCCCAGCCTGTTCTCAACCCACGCTCAACTCCATAGGTTTCAACCTCCTCACTCCCCATTACTCTCTGTCACCCTGAGCATTTTCTTCATAGCTCCCAGCACATAACAGAGGTATTTGATGCTTGTCAGAGGAGATTGAGTCCCTCATTGGGCTCCTTGCTCAGCGGGAAGCCTACTTCTCCCTCTCCCGCTCCCCCTGCTTGTGTTCCCTCTCTTGCTGTGTCTCTCTCCGGTAAATAAATAAATAAAATCTTTTTGAATTATCTCTCATAACAATTTAGTCGTATTTCAGAGAAATAGAAGCTTAACTTATTGACGAAATGATGTTGAGATGGCAGCTAACTGTTTGGAGGGAAAAATTTTACATTAGAAAACATTCCAGGAGGCTAAAGATCTGAACATAATTTAGTCACACAAAAGATTGAATATTTTTGCAGGTGAACAAGGGAGGCTTTGAAGGTTTTAAGTAGGGGAATGACACGGTCTGATGTTGTAGAGGGATCACTCTAGCTATTATAAGCGTAGAGACTTGGGAGACTATATCGATCGAGGGCATTCCATTGTTGCTGCTAGGAAGAGAGCAGTCCTGTCTTTTCCTGCTTTTCAGATCTTCTCTGTTTTGTTATTGTTTTTCTCTCTTTGTTTTTGATGTGCTGCAGTTTCATTATGATATGTTTAGGCATGGATATATATAAATATATATATATTTAATGTTATTTGGCGTTCTTTTGTTTGTGGGGATGGATATGTTTTTATGTACTCCAATTTGGGATTTGATGAGCTCAGTGAATCTGGAGTGTGTTGTTTCCCAGTAATTCTGGAAAATATTCTGAGGGTCTCTTTCTTACATTCTCTATTATTTCCCTATGAGACTTCACTTAGACATATAGGAGGCTTTCTCTCTCTACCCATCATAACTCTTTTTTTTTTTTT